AAAGTCTAATGAAATATTTTATTGATCATATGAGAATAATTGTTTAATATCTATTATATCAAATGTTGGTAAATATAATCAAAAGCCAGCAGGCTTTTCAGTGAATATTTGGATTTTTTTGTGGAAAATGAACTAAAAGTAAAAATAGTTTTGGTTTCCCAAAGTGGTTTGAAAACATTTCAGTTTTTACAATATTTTCTGTCTATTAAACAGATATCTAAAAGAAGTAATGTAATTATGTTTTGGTATTGATTTAAACAAATTATGGATATTTTAATATATTTAACTAAACTGTGTTTATTAATTGTTTGGAATTTGTGACTAAATTGCCTCATTTTGCATTCACGGAAACATCTTATGACTACATTGATGATGTTGCAATATGTTCAAAACTGGACACAATCTTAACATAACATACAACATAATATTTAGGGACAACAAGGGACCTATTGATCCATCTTGGCTGTCCCATCCTTTAAAACAAAACAAAACTATTTTAAAAAAACCTTAAATCCAGCCCTTATCATTATCATCTGATGGAGGTGGTCTATAACAAATTCACACTAAAAGTGTTTTCCCATTTTATCCACTAATAGAAACCCAAATGGATTAAATTTTCTTGCTATTATTGTTGATATCCTCACTTATTTTTTTGTTATCATCAATATAACTGGTTGGATCAATGCCTTGAAAAAAATATAAACCCATCATATGTTGCAGATTTGTAGATATTTTTAAATGGAAAGTACATGTTCTGTTTTTTATAGTCAGCAGTAAAGTATTACGTTCAAATAAAATAGTGAAAAGGTTCTTTTTGCCTTTTTGATTTAGTATTGAAGAACATATATCTGCTTTTTTCATTTCTTTTTCACAAGGACATTTAGTTGCTTAAACCTTAATGATAGTAGTTTTTCACTTTTTTGTTTAATAAGAAACTTTTAGTGTCTTAGTAAACTAGACTCAGTGACTTCCATTGAGTTATTGATTTCGTAAAGCAGTTGAAGAATGTTTTACTAAGAAAGGGTTTTCCGATTTTAACTTTCAAGGACTACATACAGATTTTACACTTCTCCAGGTCACAGTTTGATGTGCTTAAACTATTGTGTTTCTTACTTTGCCACTGTTTACAATGATTCATAACTCTAGTTGCAAAAAAGAAATTAAATTTTACAGTATGCATTTCCACATGTGCCATTTAAATTTTTGACGAAGCTTAAGTTTCATTTGAACAGGATTTTTTTTGTTAAAGATACTATTCTTGCACTTCAGTGTGTTCTCATGCTGTTTATTATTTTATTAGTCTTTGCTCTTTATAAAGTTATGTAGGATTGACAGTCTGGAACATGTATAAAATAACATCTCAAGCTAGTGTAGCGAATTTACTTGAAATAATGTAACAGTGTACCTATAATTTTTCATTGCTATGTTCTGATATGATATCTTATCTCCACTCATAGAATAGCTGTTTCTGACTTGTACTGCCCTCTATATGTACAAATTTTCACTCGCCACTAGCCTTGATACTTCCATCTACCTGCAGTGTTTCATGTGAGGCAGCTTTGCATACCACATCTTCCCTTCACACTGCTTCTTCCTAAAAGGGGCTGCACGGGTAGGTAGGCTGGTCAAGGTGAAGTTCTTTCTCTCCCCAAATCAACACCTCATTCATCCCCGGGTACCTTTCAATTCCCATCTCAGCCAGGCCCACCCTTCTCCCCTTTGCCTGCAATCTAGGGAACTTCTTGTTTGGACCATTTCCTCCTCTCATTTTCCAATTGCATGAGAGGTTCTATCTGTTTTGGGGATGTGGGCATCTTTGGAGGCTCTAATTCATCTTGGTCGAGCCTACGTGCAATCTCTTCAGTGGGCTTTCCAAAGCTAGTAAAATTCCATTTGGGATCCCTTGGACACCCATGTCCATCTTCATCCTTCCCTTCATGTGGACTTTGTCTGGTGGATGAACAAAGACAACACTACAATGGGTGTTCCTCTTACTCCTCCTCATCTGTAGGTGCACCTCTTCACGGATGTTTCTAATTTGGGTTGGGGTGTGTATCTGGATGTGCAGGAGATTCCAGGCTGTTGGTTTATTGCCGAGTCATTTTTGCATAGCAATTTTTTGGAACTGCTCACTGCTCATCTCTCCCGAACCAGTTGGTGTGATCCATTCCGACAACTCAACAGTTGTCGGATACATCACTCAGTTGAAGTCTCTTTGTTTAGATACTTTGGACCTTCTGTTTTGGACCTATAGTCATCACATTTGATTGTTGGCATGTCATATATTGGGTGCTGTGAATCTGGCCGTGTGTCATTTATTGGGCTCTGACAAAATTCTCTTCATGAAGTGATACCTGGACTAATGTGTATGGCTGTGTTTCCAGTGGAGTACTGCAGGTGCATTTGCCACCCATCTGAATTTCAAGCTTCCCAGATTTTGGTTCCCAATTGTACATCCTTTGGTTGTAGCTGTGGATGTCAAAAACTCATCTATCTTCCTCTTGGTAGCACCACTTCGGCCAGTGCAGTCTGCTCCTACTGACACCTCCTCTTCATCTACCCTTCTTACCCACTGTCCTCAGACAACCTCAGTTAGGCACACTACATCTTTCCCTTCCAATGCTCCATCTTCATGCATGGCTTTTGTCTGGTACCTTGCCAGATGGGCCAGACTTTCCCCACAGGTTGTTTCCCTGATTTCCCATTCCATTTGCTTTTCCTCAATGTCAGTTTACCAACATAAGTAGTATGTCTAACACCATTGGTCTTCTAGTCATGGTTTTTTCCATCCTTTCTTACTCTCATGCACCTGATTTCCTTCCTTACCTGGCTTTTTGACAAGGGGTTTTTGGTATCCGCCAGTGCTGATTATCATGCAGCCTTGTTAACAACTTTCCATTTCACAAGATTTTGCCATGTCTTCACTCTTCCAGTTCTCACCCTTTTGTTTCGTTCCTGTGCCCTACTGCCCTCCTTGATAGGAACCTCAATATTATTCTTCCATGCCCTCACACTTCCTCCCTTAGAGCTCAGGTCATTCTGTTCCTTATATCATCTCTCCTGAAAGACCCTTTTTTTTTCTTCTATTGACATATGCACATTGATGTTTGTATTTGTTCACTCTCGATGTCTGTCACACATTATATCCCAGTACCTATGTCATCCTTTATTCGTATCAGTTTTTCCTGCCCGATACATCAGCCAGTGTTGCCTGACCAGGTATACTTATTCTTAAACCCACATTGTAACACCATTCAGGCCAATAACGCCCACTGTTGAGATGGAGTGTTCCACAAGACCACTTGCACAGTTTTTCTCCCTGTGTTTTGCACCATAAAGATGTTTGCTCTGGACTGTACATTCACGAACTAACATGAGTAAAGCACAAAGGGATTTCTGTCCATCCCTGATGCTCCTTTGTTTGGCTGTATCTGGAATGGTCTGCTTCTAAAAGTAAGGTTTCACAGTCCCCCTCTTCCAGTGCTGTATTTCTCCAGATTCTACAACACATTTACCTACTTTATTCCAATGGAGTATGGAAGTCCTTACCACTCACTAGCTTCTAGCTGTGGGGGTGGTAGACTGTGGAGGCTTCTTCCAGGGTGTACTCAATTCCATTCAGTTGAGAGCAGGGCAGTAGTGATCTGCCAGTGTAGATGGTGTACACAATGTACTATTCCAGGTATGGACTGGATGTTTTCCCCCACAGTGCAGTTCAACTCTCGAAATGGGCACACTCTTTTCTACCACCACCTAGATGTCAGTTTCTGGGGGGGGGGGTACTGTTGTTGGTTGGAGTTGGACCAGCCATGTAAGTCTTCACATATGAGTGGCTCAAGTACCTCCTTTTACTGTCAACTGGACAATTAATTCTCAGTTCTGGCTGGTTCTGAACTAGAGTTGAACTGCTAAATTGCTGTCCACCTTCCTACTGCCAGTTCCTGGGGAGGGGGTACTGGTGTTGGACATGCATTTGTGACGATATGTGTCCTTGGAACACAAAATCTTCTTCCATTCCAGTTCCTGTGTCATAGGTGAATGGTAGAGGACTCTCTTCCTACCATGGGCTGGGTAATTCCTATCATGGTTTTGTTGGTGTTGGTTGAACTTCCCTTTATGGTCCACCGTGCTCTAGCCACTGTACACCAGGGGTTCCTTCATTTAATTTATGGAGCCCCTTGTATGTGTCCTTCTTTATTTTGGTGCATCATTTTTATGGGTGAAGAGTATACCTGGCTTAGAAATGATGTGGTCTCCTATGTATCTGTCTTACATACTCTCTATTCACACACCCATGGGCTTCCTTTGGGCACTTTCTGAAGGGGGCTCATTTAGGTAATGTTACATCGGTCCCTTCACCAGATCCGAGTGAAATTCTATCTATTCTGTAAGAGGAGAATAGAGTTGTGAGAGGAGATAACATATCATATTGGAGTTAAAATTTTCCTACACTGAAAATGTATTTCCAATAGATTATTACTTCTTTCACTCTTCCCACATTTCTTCCACAATTCTGGTGTCTTTTCCTCTTCTGTTGCTCAATCTTGAAGTGATATTGGGCTAAATGCTGCATAGAGGGAGTCAGTTGTGCTGAGAGTTGTGTCAGACTCGTATTGGTAGAGGGTTGTCACATGCTCATTTTAATGCTATTATGCAGCTGCCTCATATAAAAGTATCTGAGAGGAGGTGTGAATATCAAGGCTAGTGATGAGCAAAACTTTGTACATTTAGAGGACAGTACAGCTCGGGCAAAGCTATTCTTTGAGAGGAGGAAAGAATTTATCGGAACTACATTTCAGTGTAGGAAAATGTTAACTTTAGGATTCAGGTCAAACAAACTAAAGAAACTGCTTATTCAGTTAAAGAAACAAACAAATTTGAATTTTAACCAATCAGCTTTGTAACTTTGTTTCAGTAATCTAAATAATATTCTTAAATTGAAGTGAGAAAAGTATATAATTTTTTAAACTTTGGTGATATGAAGTGAATAATTTCTTTATTAATGCTGCCTTAGAAAAAAACAATTTATATATATATACAAGCAAATATGCCTGTAAAATTTAGTTATAGACAACATTAAATTTATGATACAAAATTGAATTTTCTTTAAGACCTGTTTTTATTTTTTAAAGCATAGAAACAATATAAAAATTCTGATTCACTCTTTTCTGTATAAATTTTAGAGGTTATTGTTCATTTATGAAATTTGCTTTTCAAAAAAAAATGCTGTTGCTTATGAAAGTTGTGTATTATTTAAGCTGTTTGAGCTTTTGGGAGTTGAAAGACTTAGCCTGATACAGCCTCTACTAGAGCACAGGAAAGAGATTGTTACAACAAGATCATCTGGTCCTGTCGATGTTTCTTTAGCTGGAGTGATGTCAAATACTAAACAGAGATCTGCTTATGGCTGCCAAGTTACAATTCAGGTGCTATATTTTGTTAATATTTCATTAAACATACAAAAAAATTACTAAATGTATGGTATGAACTTTGAACCTTTTTTTTTGATAGCTGAGTTGCATCTGAAAGCTTAATTATGACCAAGAACCCAGTATATAGGCTGTTTTGTATTCACAAAATCTTTATGACAGGTTTTACTAGTCAACTTTTAGTATGTTTATATTTATTACATTAATGGTTTAAAATGTCGTATAGTTTTGATGACATGAAGCAAAATTGAACAAAATTTTTATACTCTCCAATAGATCTGGGTAACATAATCAATTACCTATGAGCATATATATTAATGTTCCAAAAAATAATTCATCAATTGATAAATCATACTAATTGATTAATGAGTATATTGATTAGAAAATACTGCTAATCACCCAGGTCTGCTCTGCAACTTGTGTAATTACTGTGCACTTACTTTCCAAAACATACATACCTCCACTGACACTTATAGCTATTTCTCGATCTTCATCTTTGCCATCTAAACATTGTGTTCACTTGCTCCAGTCTTTATACCCCAATTGACTGCCTTCACCAATATTTAATTTGCAAAACTTTACACCAGTCCTCACATGCCCTCTATGCAGGTACTGTATATAAGCACTACATGTCGATAATATAATCACTTTTTCTCGAAAAGCACTATTGCTAGGAATTATGTTTTGTGGTTAACATTCTTTTTGAAGAGTTTTGACAGTAGTCTGTTTGTTTTTTTTATTTGTTGCTGATATTTTGTTGATTTTCTTTTGCGGTTCAAGTACAAAACAATGCAGTGTCAATTCTTGTGTAATGGTTTCTAGCACAGGGGTTAACCAGACCTCGTCCATTCCTCCTTTGTTGTCTGGTGGTAGTTTGGGGGGGGGGGAGCACTCTCGGTGGAGGATGTCCATGATCTGCTTTGAGATGAGTTGGAGTCCTTCATGCAGCTTGGGGGGTTCAGAATTGGCTTTTCATCATGAACCTGAATATACTGGGGAGAATTTAGACACTGTTGTCTGCTCCTTCTTCCAATAAAACTGCCTCTGCTGCGAGCTCATCTGATCAGCCACCTTCTGCCTCTTTTCTGCAGTTAGTTACATGAGCTTGTGAAGCTATGGAGATTCACATTTTTCTTTTGAGTCTACCCTGCCTTGTTGTCAGAAGGATCTCAGGGGGATTACTTAGTTCTTCCTCCTTTCCCTGATATTGCCGTGTATGCTAGGATGTTTGCAATGCAATTATGAGAGAGTATTGCTATGCCTTGGTCCCCTCGTTTATCAGAATAACATGCCCTGGCTTATCATCGTGTGGCTGTAGTATATTTGGACATTGAACAGTTGGATTTGTTGTTGGATCTATGGGGTTTCAGGTTAGAATCTGTTATCTCTCTTACCAGATCTCCATTTTTGTGGATTCACTCTAACTACTGTATTGTGATACTCCACTTCGTGATTTCTGGGAGTCGCCCCTTTTTCGGCCTCACTAGTTTGTTGGAGTTCCTGAAACTTTCAAAGCCCAATTTTATATGTCACATTTGCAGTTTTCTTTATTGTCATTGGCTGCTCACCTGTCTTCTACTCCAACGTGTAATTCTGGAGGATCGATCATTCGCATCTCGTGGCCCCCACCTTCAACATCTCGTCCTATTGGTTTATAGAATCGGTTCTGTCCGTATTCTCAGGAATCTTTGGAAGTTTGGGATGGTGCCAGTAGCATCGGTGTCGACCCATTCAGAAGGTTGATCCCATTCATCCAGGATAATATTCTCGTCTTTTTTTGGTGACCAAGAACATTAGAGATTGGCTTCTTATCCCTAATCTGTTTTGACTCAATCTCTTCCTTCAGTCTCCTCATTTCACCATGGAATCTTTTCTTCAACTTTAATAGCACTTCACACATGATCTTTGGATGACCAAGTTTGATGTTACAGACACCTCCCTTCACATCCTCATAGCAGTCTTTTTGTTGATTTCTACAATTTTTACACAAAGACCATATGTTGCAGTTCCAAGTTTTCTGCTTCGTAGTATATGCCTTTGAGCAGCATCTTCATTTTCTGGATTTGTGCACACATAACTATTTGGAATATTGACTTCTTTTGGCACCAACATGTCAAGTTGCCACACTACATCCACATATTCTGACAGCAGAAGGGTGAACATTATATCAGGTTGGAAAAATCCATTCTCTCACCAACTCCATACATGGTCCATCTTGGGGTGTTTTTCAGTGCACTTTGAGTCGAGGTCAACCTTCTCCCCTCAGACTTCATTCTAGGGAAGGATTTGTCAGACATTTGCTTATGTCACTTTCTCCCACTGCATTGATGTTTCTTTCTGTTTTGGGGATTTGGGCTTCCCTATAATCCCTCATACCATTGGATCAGGCCCATATGAGATCCCTTCATTAGTCATTTCATAGCCAGTGGCTCATGGATACTGATCCTTTGGATCACACAGTCTCTTTGCTCGAACAATTTGCAGATCTCAACTGGTGGCTGGACAGGAACAACATGAATATCAGGGTCTGAATACCACCTCCTCATGTGGAAATCCAACTTTTCATGGATGAGGTGCCTTTTTTCTAGGGTAGGCATTCGAGGGTATTTGGACCGACTGTGAATTTACCCTGCATATCAATGTTCTTGAACTTCTTGCAGTACATTTAGTGATGATTCCAGGTATTCCTCTCTTGCATGACAAAATGGTTGTGATTCATCCTGACTACTCCACAGTGGTTTCATATCTTTCTCATCAGAGAAGTTCTCATCCTTAAGGTTTTGGTTTTCGGGCTTTGGATCTTCTTTTTATGCTCATTCCAATCACATCCATTTTTTTGGCCTGTCATGTGCCAGAGTTTATGATTTTGATAGCAGATCATCTTTCTCAACCCCATCAAATTCTTCCACCAGCATTGATGTTCCATCAGGTGGTCTTTCAATGGACTTGTTCTCAGTTCAGCTCTCCAATGTTCAACACATTTTCAACCCATAGGAATGCTAGCTTACAGTTCTGGTCTCCTATTCTACATCCACAAGCTCTGGTGATAGATGCTTTCAGTCAACACCCGACACGATTCCCTTTTTATGCCTTTCCTCCTATTCATCTCTTGTCTATGATTCATTTCACCCCATGTTGGGTTCTCATGTTAGTACCTTTTTGGCCTGGTCAGACATGGTTTCCTCTTCATTTGCTCCAGGAATGTTTACTGCTACCTCTTCATTCATCCTTGTTAAGACAGCCTTAGTCCAACATTCAAAACTTGGATGTTTAACGACTTCAGCTTCATGCTTGGAAGTTATGCAGTCCTTTGCCCAACCATAGGGGTTTAAATTCTACAGTTTCCACTTATTTGACTATATCCTCCATCAACCTACTATGGCAATCTAGTGATGGAAACAGACTACATATTATCATGGGTGTCTTCGGTGAGCCTTCAGCCCACTTCATCCAACAGTCTCCATAGTTTCAAGTTTTTTGAAAGGTTTGGCTTTTACCTTGCATCATATACAACATTCTTCACTGCTACCTTTTGCTCTTCTATGTATACGAAGATTATTGATTCCTGTGCTATCTCATTTTGTGATCCTTTCATATTGTTCATCCCAAACAACCATTTCATTTGCCTAATTGGGACTTTAGAGTTGGTTTTTCATTCATTATCACTTTATCCCTTCAAACCTATGGCCCTTTGTATCACCTTTCCCTCGAAGTATATTTCTATTTTTATCAGCTTCCGGATGCAGCCGCTCTGATTTATTTGCCATCCCTGTTCACCAGACTGTCTATCCTTCCACCTATTTTTTGCTCTATCCAGACAGATCCTTCCTGTTGAACACTCACTGCCAGAGAAGGGAATAAATTATTTCTTCCTATTCTTTTTCCAGGCATTTCTCATCTTTATAATCTGTCATACCGAGATATTTTGTGTTTAGATGTAGATTTAGATGTTCTCTGGCTTGTACAGAACTGTTCAGGGGTCCTATGCACCCATTTTTTATTTAATGGATCCTGCAGTGTCCCTGGATTTATAACCCATTACTTTAACCATGGGACTTCAGGAATTGATTCCTATAGCCTATTCGGGGATATCTGTTGTAGATTGGAATATATTCCACATCACTTCTCACCAGATTTGGCATCTGCCAATGATGAGGTGTTTCATAAGACCATCTAGACACAATTCTGGATGGTAGTATTATCTCACAATACAAATCCAATGGACCGCTACTCATGGACTATCATGAGTAAAGGGGATTTTGCCAGTCCCTGCTGATCTTAGTGCTGAATCAGTCGAGATCGGTTTGCTTTTGAAATTTAGGTTACGTGGTTCACTTGTTACATTGTCTCTGGAGACCTGTTCCTCAGGACTCCCCACTGCATAAATGTCCCCTTACTGCTTTTAGTGGAGCCAGGGAGTCCGTACCACACCCTGTTCTCAGTCGCTTGGGTGGTGGACAGAGGATTTTCCTTTGGAGTGTTCAGTTTTCTCCACTCTCGGATAAGTGGGCAAAGTTGTGGACCCTCCTACCTGGATCCCTGGAAGTTTTCCCAGATGTTGGTAGGAGCAGGACCAACCTATGTGGGAGCCTACTTGTAAAACCTGTCCAGATTTGGCACTTAGCTATCCTGTGGGGGTGTGCTTGGACCCTCTTATGAGCACTGTCAGTTGTTGGGTTATTCATGCAAGGGGTTCACTATCTCCTTGTAAATCTGAATGCAACGCGGTCCCATCCTAGGTCCTTAGTGGAACAGTGTTCTATTTCCTCTCAATAATTCCATGGGTAAGTGGAATTCTCCTTGCTTACTTGGTTGTGGAGTAAAAATGACTGATTGTAAATCCAGACCTGATGAGTTTTGGACCTTGGCTGGAGTATGGCATAGATGATCCTGTCAATCCAAGCCTGGGATGTTACCTTTTGGACTTCTTCAGGTTGATCAGAAGGATTGTCTATTTTGGTGTTGCTTTCTTTCTTTCATAAATCCAGTTGTTCAAAATGCATCATTTTGTAGCTGCCATGACCCCTTAAATCCAGCCCCAAGTTGTGGAACTTTGGCTGCGTGGTTGGGGTGGCTCATTATACTTACTTGTGTAATATTCCACCCTTTTCACTTTTCTGTAGTTCTGAGTGTAGAGCATACCTGTTCTGGATGCATTGCAGTTTTCCCTGCTTGGGTACCACCTCTCATGGTACACCTTTGTTCTATGCAAACACTTTCTGTATGAACTTTGCCCTCACCGGCCCATCCGCTTTCTCAATGTGGGATTCTAGCTATAAGTGTCAGTGGAAGTATGTATGTTTTGGAAGTTATCATTTTCCTAATCTGAAAATGTATATCCAAACATACTTACCTCCAGTGACAACTCACCCTCCGTTCCTTCCCACTAAGAGCCGGTGTTAGTGACTGGGATGGGGTAAGTCTAACAAAAGTGATTATATTGTCGACATACAGTGTTTATATACAGTACCAGCATAGAGGGCATGTGAGGGCCCGTGTAAAGTTTTGCAAGTTAGATATTGCTGAGGGCAGTCAAGTGGGGTATAAAGACTGGAGCAAGTGAACACAATGTTTAGATGGCAAAGATTAAGATCGAGAAATGCCTATAAGTGTCAGTGGAGGTAATTATGTTTGGAAATACATTTTCAGATTAGGAAAATGATAACTTTTGCTAAATATTCTTGGGTAAGATTGTGTTTTTTATGCACAAAAATAAATGTAATCGTTTGCCAAACCCAAAAATTTTGGTTTCACACATGTAAATATTGTTGAACCATATTTTTCAGAATTAATCAACTTTTGAATGTTTTATTTCATTTGAGAAAACCATATTTTAAGATACCAATAGGTGTAACGTTAAGCATTGAGCTCAATCAGTTTATTTAATTAGCATTATGGTGCCATTGCAGACAGGTAGAAAAGTCAGCTTGCTAAAAATTACATAATTAAGAATGTAAAGAATAACTCATTTATTTGTAGATATTGTGGTTGGAAAGCATACAATCACAAAATTTCCATAGTGATAAATTTCATTGAACCAAAACTCAACTTGTAATGCATGATCACTTTATTTTGTTAAAGTCTGAAAAAGAACGACAGTTGAAGAAACAGTTCAAGAAAGAAGATAGACGCATCCAGCGAGACCAAGCACGGAATCTTGATGATAATACATTTATATTTGATCCTCAGTATCTTAGAGATCAAAGGTACGAGTATTTTCCCATGTTATCTCTTAGTTTTTATGTATTTTCAATATAGTTTAGGAGGTATTCCATGCCAAATCTTCACACTCATCCACCATGATTGGCATCAGTTTCTTAGAATTTTGGCTGGTTAGTGTTTTTCATGATATACACTTGAAATTAAAATATCAAGTCGTTAGTTTATATAGTTTATGAAATAAGGAATATCAAATGTGCTCTGATTTTGTCAACTGACAGTATTCTTGTGGCCATATTTTCTGTTCTGTTGCATTTAGGAAGATGATTCTTCTGCCATTTGAAGATAATTTAAAGGCCACATTTTTCGGAATATAAGATGCACCGTTATTTTGAAGACACAGTTTTGGGGAAAAAAAAGCTACAGTCGTATTTGAAAGATTTTTATTCAATAAAAATTCAATTTGATACTTTAAAAATTAGTATATATTGTTCTAAACACAAAAGAGCTCAAAACATCAAAATAAAAAAATACTGTAAATCAAAAAAAAGTTTACTGTTATTTAGTTTGGTTCGTAACCTACAAAATCTTCATTGCTTTCACTGTCGCTTGGAAAGGAATCATTGGATCCAATATTATGGTCAAAGAGAATTTCATTATCAGTCCCATCCATTGTGTTACTGATACCACATTTCTTAAATGACTTAATCACTATATCACTTCTTACTTTTTCCCATGAATTCTTCAGCCACATGCAGACCTAGGCATTTGCATTTCATGAACCGATAACACCACGATATATGATCAGTAAAGTCTTCTAAATTATTATCACATGCAATCCTCTTTGCTTTAAAAATTATCATATTTGTAGAAATGGATAGTCCTTGCCTTCTCTGATCCACAACCCATTTGTACAGTTTATTTTCGAGATCTTGCCATTTAGTTTTTTTTCCTTGGAAATTGCTTTTATCACTTTTAATCATTTTCAATTCTTCTTCTTGTTCGCACCAGCAACGAATAATTTTTTCTGTTGGTGGACGACCAAAATATCTTTTGGCAGCTCTGTTTCCATGTTCTTTTGCATAATTAATCACACTTAATTTAAATTTAGCTGTGTATGACAGTCCCTTTTCTTTAGGCATCGTAAGGGGTGAAAAAAATAGAACGAATAATGAAGAAACAACTATTTTGCTCCCGAGGCCTAAGATACGGTACTTCGGCTTTCGGTGACGCATCCAACTTGACAGTAAGCATGTGGCAGACTGCCGAGTATTAAATGAAAATTGAAATACCAATTAGGCAATTACCGACGCTAATTGCATTAAGTGTTCTGATTGGTCAAGTGCATTGCACATTTGAATCCAAGGCAAGCACTCAAAAACGATTTTTATTTATTAAAGTTAGGCCTGAAACAGCCTTATTCAGCTCCAGATTAAACAGGGATCTTCGTGTATTTACAAGCATTTTCACTCTCATCCATTACTATAATTTATTCTTTTATTATTTAGGGAGCATTATAAATAGTTATGTTTTTAAAAGAAAAAAAACTACTATTATTAATAACACATTCAATTGAACTAAACTATGTATGCCTATTTAAATATATTTGCACATGGCTTGTGTATATCGTATATATACATATATATTATTCATACCTTCATATACAGTTTGTATGAATTAGGAACTCAAACTACTGATATTGACAAGCTAGAATATAAAATAAGAACATCTTATCTTTGTTATTTCCCAAGAAATCACTCCTGTACTGAATCAAACACAGTGGCCTCTCTGCTTACGTCTTTCCATTTTTGGAAACAGTCTCTAATATACACTTCTGTATCTAACATGAATAATCAGTCAAAAGCTCGTGATGTTCCCCTAGTGGTTTTCTCAGCCATATTGACGTGTTATTGTGCTCATTTCATTCTTTTCACGCAAGATCTCAAACGATGAGGTAAGTCTTTAGTGAGCCCAAAATTTCATATTATTTTAGAACCAAATACAGCTTAGTTGCTATGCTTGATAAATTATAGTAGAATTCTGTGGTATCGATATAGTAATTTATGATTTTTTTGTTAATTAAAATGTATATATAATACCTAAAAAAAATTTCTTTTTACATCCTCCACGTAGGAAATTTCATAAGGCTTAGCAACCTATGACATTCGGCAGATGAGTACAAAGGTCGTAACTAGAAGAGATAATTGTTTGCTTTACTTTATTTACTGTTTGGTGTTGTTTTAAGAAAAACAAGTTTGAAAGCATATTTCTAAATAGAAATAATGTATATACATATATAATATATAATAGTTGAAATGTGACTGTATTTTACAAAGTACTAGCCCACTAAAACACAGCTGAGACAGGTCATTTTGTAAAGACTAAAGCTTAGTTATATATTATTGGATATGGTAACACGAGTGCATGTGCACTGCGTCATTGTAACAGTTAGAAGATCAATACAATAATAATAAATACTAGACCACCGTGACCCGTTGGGTCAAC